TCAAGCCTATGTAATTGTGATAGTCATGGTCCCACTTACAAAACCAAAACCAAAGGGAAAACAGATTTCTATTCAAAGGAACACAGTCAGCAAGTAAAAATAGCCATTTGAAGGGAAAAGGTTCAATGTGTGACCTCTGCCATAACTAGCTATGTTGCAACTCAATATACTAGCGTGGAGAAAAATCATACACTACTTTGTTCTCTTCGCTCAATTAAATAGGAAAGGAGTTATAGTCTAAGATTGTTATTGATCATACTATTACATGACACTACAATGATCAATCACTATTCACTCCAGAAAAACTAAAAAAATTTATCTGGAGAACAGACATTTGGAAGTACAAAAGCAATCCATGTCTAAAGCCTCAGAATCATTAGTCCCTCACCTATCTTAATACAGAATCCAGGAAAACAACTAGTTGGGTTCTACATCTGTAGAATTCAACCAACCAGACTGAAATTAGTGAAAATTGCATCTGTACTGAACTTATAGCATTTACCTTAGGTATTTACTATAAAGTAATCTAGAGAAAATTTATAGTTTATGAGAGGATGCAAACAGCTTCTATGCAGATAGTACACCATTAATACAAAAGACTGTAGTAGCATCCTCAGTTGTTTATCTGTAATGCTCCTGGAATCAATCTCCCAAAGATACTATATAGGGATTACTACACTGCAACTGAAATCTTTTTTGCTTCTGTCCCACTATTGACTCACAATAACATTTCTAACCCTAAAAACACTGGAAAAATTTTAAAAATCCGTTTTCTTTCCCACCTATTCCCATCCTCCAAAAGCTTCAGAGCCTATTACATCTGATGTGAACAGTTATTTTACATTTCACACAAAGAATGAACATCAAATTATTTCCTAATGTAATATTTAATACAAACACTGCAAATGTCTAGCAACAGGAAGATGTTGGTATTATGTTAGACAACCCATCTGTTCTTAAATTATCAAATGAGCTTATGTCTACAAGAGGAGGTAGCCTAGTATAGGGGTAAAGCACAGAAGCACCAGTCAGACTGAGTTTGAAACTGAGTGTTCAATAAATATTATCATAGCTCAACATTCTGCTCTAGGTTATCTTACCAATTTCTTACTAATTGATAGAACTTATATATTGCTTGAGATCAGAAAGGTAGGGATAAGCAAACTTTTTCTGTAGAGGTCTAAAAGTAATAGTCTAAGCCTTGCTGGCCTGATGGTTTTACTAGTAACAATTCAACTTTGCCACTGTACCACAAAAACAGCCCCAAATAACATGCAAACAAATGAGAATGGTAGTTCTGTTCCAATGAAACTTTACGTACAAAAGTGAAATTTAATTTCATATTTTCATGCTATGTATTCTTTTGATTTCATTAAAAATTCAAAAACCATAGTTTCTATGCCATAAAAAACAAACAAACAAAAAACAAACAAACAAACAAACAAAAAAAGGACAACAGGCCAGATCTGGCTCATAGATGAGTTCTCTAATCCTTGCTCTATATTAACAAATCTATTCTTAGGAAGTTTCATGGGAGCAGGGAGATCTGAAATATAGGTCGGTGGTACAAAAGAAAGAGAAAACTAAATATACTAGAAAATAAAAAGACTTAATTTCAATTATTTATCAAAACCACACTCAACTATACAAAACATTTTATTATATATTGTTGGAATAAAAAATGTTACAAGTTGTAGTCACTGCCCTCAAGTAGCTTATACTTCTCTACAGAAGCATAGAAATAGGTCTTCCTTCCAAGCACAGTATATTCTTCTCAGATTTTTACCATACACACACACACAGGCATTCATCCATGAGACAAGTGGTTTCTTGATTGCCTCCACCTATAGCTTAGGCCAAACATGCATTATTTATATTGACCATTTACCTTTCCTCCCCTCCCCAGGAATTTTACTACCAGTTCTTCCCCTTTCCTCCAAATTACTGCTTAGCACTATCATTTGGGAGATGATATTCAGGATGATCTATAAAAGGTCAACTGGTCCCATTTGTTAAAAATATACACGGAAATAAACTAATCTCAAGAGATGGCATCTTCCTTACATGTTAGTAACTCCTGTGGTTTTAATTTCAATCCAGGTTAAAGAAACCTGTCCCTATCAGAAAGGACAAACAGGTCTTTCTTAAAGCAGAAAAGACACATCAAAAAAAAAAAAAAAATCTTTTTCTTCTTCTGCTTGATCTAATCAAAAAAAATTTTTCAGAGCAAAATGTTAAGTATTTTTATCTAAAAAACACAGAACAGACCCAAAAACTAGGCGAAATACAGTGCTCCAGTATATACTTCAGTTGTTTCTCACAACTGAATTTGAAAAAAATAAAGCAGAAATCCAATGTCATTGTGTCAGAGCAAGTGAAACATAAAAAAACAAGAAAATTAGCATAACTAATGATTAATAAAAAACAAAAGGATTGTTTGCAAAGAATATTAATGTTCATAATATTGACATTAACAAGAAAGTATTAGCAAGTATTATCTTGACTGAGACACTAGAATGGCATTAATCTCTTAAGTGTTTTCCTTATAAGAATTATCTGTACTCTATACCTTAAAGACAACACAACACAACAATAATCAAAAAGCAAAAAAGCAGTACTCCTAATGTTTAAGATCATTTCATTAGAACAGACCTGATTCAGCTCAGAATCCCAAATCATATTAAAGGGGAGGGAGCAAAGACTCAGCAGTTAGTTAAAAAAAACGGAAATGAGGTCAATCAAACTGTCATATGCAGGTATGAATATATTACAATGCATTCCAATTTTATATAACTATAATGTACCAATTAAAAATAAATAAAGAGAACACGATTGGGGAGGTTGGAGGGAAGGGAAACAGCAAGTACTGAGGATTGAGACAGAATAAACTATATTATATGCATTTATGAATATCAAAATGAAACCCACTATTATGTACAACTATAATGCACTAATAAATTTGTTTTTTAAAAAAAGAAATTAAGACAGTAAAATATTTGGTTGAGCCAAAAGGGTACTGAGAATTTATAATAGTGAAGTTCTTCAAAATAAATGAGTTTTTCAGTACTTGGGTACTTGGCAAGAATAAATAAACAACTTGATATAAAAAAGTAAAAGGGCAATTAATATTTCCTTGCCATTCTAAGATTTTCTAATTGTAGTTTCATCTATTCCTAAGCAATTATGGAAGTAGGTGGGAAGCAATTAGTTTTACTAGGGCATGTATTTGATCCTCTAGTAAGGTGGCTATGTAGAAGAATCACCTAAGGAATATATCTAGTAGGCCTCCTGGCATCCAGAATCAACTCAACAATGACTTGCTATATTCTACTCCTTTGTCCTGGCACAGTAAGAATTTGGAGGAAATTATTTAAAACTGTTAGGATACTTTATATATCCCTCTCACTCATAGAGTTTACTGTAAACTTAAAACTCCTGGATTCACTGTTTTACTATAATCCATAAGTTTTATCTAAGGACATTCATTCTCTGTGCCTTATATTACCTACACAATATTGTTCATTATTACATCATTATTGCTCAAAGGCAGAACTTCATTGGGTCAAATAAGAAAACCACAACCCTGTGTAGAAAATTCTCATGCCAAGAAAGTATCTACTTTCATATTCTTCTTCTATGCATCAGTGTCAGGAAATCTTTGCTAATTCATTTGATTACAATACACAAATCACTAAAGTAGAATCACAAGTATTATAAGGTAAAAGAAAAGCAAGCAATGTCCATGAGAAAGCCACAGGAAATTTAATTCTTAAAAATACATATTTTAGTCTCTAATAAGAGTCTTATTTTATCAACTTTACTAATCCAAAAGCCATCTTTGTTTTTAGAATTAAGAACTACTCAATATCTAGTGGTCATATATTAAGTGAAGTCTGACAATCAAGAATACATTAACTAAACAACACTAGTGGCCAATGGAGGTTTTAAAAATAAAAGCATAAGATATGGTAGGAAACATTATTTGACTTTAACCTCATTTATAAAACTAAATACAAATGTAATATTAAATGTCTACTTCTAAGTGTGGCATCTTAGATTTAAGAATTAGGGCAAATATGTCATAAGAGGGAAGGGAACTAATCAATCAAATCCAAAAGAACTCACTATTTTATAAAGTTTGAGCAACAGCCCTATGAAATAGTATTCATTTTTACTTTTCATTAATCTCTTTAGTAACTTAATTTTTAACCCTATAATCCATCTCAAGTTTTGCAATTATAAGTCAGAAAAAAAAAAAGCAGATATGTACACCAAATAGTTTTACGAAACTCGCCATATATCCAGTCTGGGATCCACATCTGTATATTCAACCAACAATAGACTGAAGATATTTGGGGGAAAATTTTCCACATATCCAGCACTTTCATGAATCTTCACACAAAAAAAAGTGATGTGCGAGCACACCCTGCTGCAGCCTGCCCCTCCACAGATGCTTAGTTTCTCTCCAGCACATGTTGTTTGGTCATTGCTCGTCCCGCATCTTGTTCCTATACTATGTAGGTTAGTCTACACTGTTTGTATCAGAATAAACTTTTTTCCTTGTCATTATTCCCTAAACAATACAGTACAGCAACTATTTATATAGTAATTATATTTATTAGGTATGATAAATGAGAGATGATTTAAAGTATATGGGAGGACGTATGTAGGTTATATGTAAATACTATGCCGTTTTATGTAAGTGACTTGAGGTATCCACACCGGGTCCTGGAACTAAACCCAAGAGTACTGAGAGAGGACTGTAGTTGAACTTCATATATAAACTTCAAAAGTCAAGAGGACTATATTTATAAAATCCAAAGGTTAACATAGGCCTACCTTTCAATTTTTTTGGGCATTTTAAGAATGATTTAATGAAATGATGTTAATTCAGAAATACATTCTATATCTCAACATCAATAAAATATGACATTTAAGGGAAGAGTCAATAAAATTTTGCATTTTAAAATCAAAAAGAGTACATCTTGGACACCTTAAAATCTTGGACAATTTAAAAAATTTAGTTATAAGCAGGACATTACTGTGTAACAAATACTGCTCATATCAAAAGTGCTGGTGAGAAAGAATTCAATATGCCCTCCCACAAAATCTGTTCACATACATAATATATATACATATAATTGTAACAAAGATTTTTCATGTTTAAGGTGCTTGAAGTTTGCACTGCAGTCAATGAGCATCCATCTGCTACCTCTTTTGTAGCAACTCCAGTTAGAATGATCCCAAGACAAAATGCTATTACTTTCTAAAATGTGGCATTTGTGGAGCTGGAGTGCCCTCTATTGGTAAGGAGGAGGACACACTCATTAGTTGTCCTGAATGCATTTTCTCATTGATTCGGAGTTCACATCCATCTTGAAGCATTCGCACTGCTATTCGTGCTATGTTCTTAGAGTCATCAAGACCACTATGAGGTCGTCCATCATAATCCATTCCTAATTTTTCAAGCATTATTGCCAGTTTGGTTTGGCTTCTAGGAACCTGAAATATAAACAATAATTCTTTAGTGTTATAAACTGTAATATAAAGCCACAGAAAAATAAGAAACTGAAAATAGTAGTAATAAAATTATGTTGGGCAAAGGACAATATTCTTGATCAATGAGCAAATAAATAACTCAAATTTTCAGAGCTTTAACAAACGATCTTAGAATTTTAACTGAAAATATGGCTAGAATCCTCAGACATTGAAAACCTTTGCAGTACTATACTTAAACAAATCATTTATTAAAGGAAATGTACTGTTCTGAACACCTAAGTTGAAGATTCACATTTTTAACCTAATATTTTTGCATGATATTTTTCTACAAATACTTTAGATAGTAATAAAAATATTTACCATTTTTAAATAACTAAAAATAAGGAAGCTCAAGAATGAAAGATGATGTCGTGGTATTTTTCAACCTATTTTAAAAAACTGCTCCATTGTGATAAACTCCCAAATCTCACATTTCCCAAACTCTAAAAAGCTCCTTCACTTCTGAGAACAACTTTTATATTTTCTGCATATTCCCATCAAGAAGATTTGTTTAAGTTTAAAGTTCTATGGTTTGTATAGCTATGTCACCTGAGTATCACGGAGCTTCAGATTCATCTATAAAATAGGACTAACAGCTGTATTGTTTATTCAAAGGGTTACTGGTAGAATCACAAAGCAAAAATGATATACAAAAGAACAATGATAACATCGTAAGGTATACAACTACAATGCACTCTATGCCTCTTCTAAATATCACTTAGAAAATATGCTTCTAAAAATAACCTTTGCAATACAATGAATAACTTAGGTGGAAAGGACTGATTCCTAGAAATACAAAATACCAAAGTGAATCATAAAGAAATAGAAAATTTGACTAATCTATTTTTAGACAGGAGATTGAATCAGTTAATTGAGAACTTCCTAATAAAAGAAAAGCCCTGGACCATATAACTTCATTGATAAATTCTACCATTTAAAGAATCAACACCAATCTTTCTCAAACTACTCCCCCAAAAATGAAAAGAAGTGAACAGTTTCTAACATACTCTATAAGGCCCACACCACTTTGATACCAAAACCAGATGGCAGTAGAAGAAAATTATCGATATCCCTTCTGAATATCACAATACAAAGTCCTCAATATGCCAGGCACAGTGGCACACACCGGTAATCGCAGTGGCTCGAAGGCTGAGGCAGGAGGATCGCTAGTTCAAAGCCTGCCTCAGCAAAAGCGAGGCACTAAGCAACTCAGTGAAACCCTGTTTCTAAATAAAATACAAAATACAACTGGGGATGTGGCTCAGTGGTCAAGGGCACATGAGTTCAATCCCTGGTACCCAAGAAAAAAAGAAAATCCTCAACAAAATAAAAGCAAACAAAATTCAGCAACATATTAAAAGGATTACCATGGGGTGGGGATATAGCTCAGTTGGTAGAGTGTTTGCCTCTCATGTATAAGGCCCTAGGTTCAAGCCCCAACACCACCAAAAAAAAAAAAAAGGATCATCACAATACTAAGTAGGATTTGTTCCTGGGATTCAAAAAGGTTCAGCATGCATGCAAAAATCAATGTTTTACCACATTAACAGAATAAAGGTGAAAAAAAAATCACATGACCATAAGAAGTGATGAAGGAAAAAGCATTTCACAAAATTAACCTTTCATGATTAAAACACTCAACAAATTAACAGAAGAAAAATACCTGAAAATAAAGACTATGTGAAAAACCCATAGCTAACATCATACTCAGTAGTCAAAGACTGAAACCTTTTCTTATAAGATTAGGAACAAGACAAGATATCTACTACACTCTCTTTTTTCAACAGAGTATTAGAAATTCTACCCAGAACAATTAGGTAAGAAAAAGAATAAAAGGGCCAGGTGCAATGGCACACACCTGAAATCCCAGCAACTCAGGAGGTTGAGGTAGGGGATTACAAATTTAAAGCTCATGTGTGCGATTGGTATCCTGTCACAAAAAATAAAATGGATGAGATGTAACTCAGTGGTAGTATGTATGTATGTATCTCTTATCTCTCTCTCTCTCTCTCTCTCTCACACACACACACACACACACACACACACACACAAGAAAAAAACAACAAAAGCTATCCAAAAGGGGAGAAATAAAATTACCTATTTGTGGGTAACAGAGGATATGTGTAGAAAATCATAAAGATTCCACACACACAAACAAAAAAAACCCCTATTGGAACTATAATATAAAAAAACAGCGGCTGGATGCAGTGGCACAAACCTGTAATCCCAGCAGCTCAGAGATGGTGAGGCAGGATGACAGTGAGTTCAAAGCCAGCCTCAACAATTTAGTGAGGCCCTAAGCAACTCAGCGAGACCCATCTCCAAATAAAATACAAAAAAGGACTGAGGATGTGGCTCATTGTTTGAGTGCCCCTGGATTCAATCCCCAGTAACCAAAAACAAACAAAAAGCCACAAAGAAGCAGGATCAAAATCAACACACAAAAATCTGTTGAATTTCTATACACTAACAATAAAAACCCAAAATGAAAATTTAAAAAAATAATCCCATTTAAAATAACATCAAGGACGGCAGCACGGCATCCGGGGCCAAACGAGGCCTTAGTCGAGGATGAAGACGATAATGTCGAAGAAGAGGATGAAGACGACGAGGTCCTTGCCGAGGAAGTGAATATTGAATTTGAAGCTTATTCCATCTCAGATAATAATTATGACGGAATTAAGAAATTACTGCAGCAGCTTTTCCTAAAGGCTCCTGCGAACACTGCAGAACTAACAGATCTCTTAATTCAACAGAACCATATTGGAAGTGTGATTAAGCAAACAAATGTTTCAGAAGACATCGATGATGATGATGATGCAGATGAAAATGAAATTTTTGGTTTTATAAGCCTTTTAAATTTAACTGAAAGAAAGGATACCCAGTGTGCTGAACAAATTAAAGAATTGGTTCTAAGCTTCTGTGAGAAGAACTGTGAAAAGAGTGTGGTTGAACAGATGGACAAGCTTTTAAATGACACCACCAAGCCTGTGGGCTTTCTCCTAAGTGAAAGATTCATTAATGTCCCTCCTCAGATTGCTCTGCCCATGCACCAACAGCTTCAGTAAGAGACTTCAGAAAATGCCTTCAAACAGTAGCTTGTTTGTTTGGTTTTTTTCCCCAAGTAGACTCAGAAATGTGATTTAAATGGAATATGTAGGTACAGAAAGAGTCCTGACCTGGATTGAAACAACTGTATTATGAGGAGGATGGAAGAAAGAGTCTAAAAGCGGCTTTTTGAAGAGTTTGGATTATTTGTAACAGTAATTTTCATATTTTTTAAGATTTTAAATGGAATAAAGTGGATTAATTTCCTTTAGACTTTTTAGCCCATTTGCATGACATTTTTCTCCTAAAAGATTTCTGTAACATGAATAAAATGCTGAATAATGACAGCAATAACAAAAAATAAAATAACATTAAGAAGTACTTAGGAATAAATCAAGACAAAAGAATTATGCAGTGAAACTGCAAAATATTGCTGGAAAAAAAGCACCAATAAATGGAAAGACACCCCATATTCACGGACTGTAAGACTTATTTTTAATATTAAGATATCAACATACCAATATGGTAGTGCATGTCTGTAATCTCAGCAACTCTGGAGGCTGAGTCAGGAGGATCCCAAGTTCAAGATCTTCCTCAGGAACTTACAAGACCATGTCCCCCAATAAATAAATAAATAATCATCCACGGGGATTTCCAGATTCTATGCTATGCCTATCAAAATCCCAATGACAGCTTGGTGTGGTAATGCATGCCTATAATCCCAGTGGCTCGGGAGGCTGAGGTAGGAGGATCATTAGTTCAAAGCCAGCCTCAGCAATTTTTTTTTTTGCAGAAATAGAAAATTCCATCCCAAGATTCATATGAACTCTCAAAGAACCCCAAAGAGTCTGAAACAAATGAAGTCTACATGGTTTGCCTTTATGAAGACATAAACCTGTCTAATTCATGCCAAATGTTTAACAATTATGTGAAAAGACATCCAGCTAAGCATATTACCTGCATGGATCTACTACGATGAAAAACATTTCACTCTCAAAAAAATTTTTTTTTCTCTTCTGTTATTGGTAGTTCAGAACATTAGTTATTTTTTCCCATGGGTCAAAAGATACCTAAGTATATGATTTTAAGTGGAAAAGTAGGTGACAGAAATCAGGTATTAGCAATTTCTCCATTTTCCTTTGTGTGTGAATTAGTAATATAAATGTGGGAACATAAAACATTAATGCAAGTCAAAATATTTCAATGTTTTAGCAGTTTAGCTTTATAAAAATAATAAATAAAACTGTTAATCTTTTCTGGATAATGAACTTGAATTTTTTAAAAACAAATAAATATTTTTTTAAAAAATTCTTATGGATGGTTAAAAGCAAAGGGGACAGGGGCAGAGAACTTGCTATACATGTTTATACATTTCTTTGAGGATAAAACACAAACGGCCAATAAGCACATGAAAAGATGTTCAATATCACTAAAAACTAGGTAAAAGCAAATCAAACCCATAATGAGATACTATTTCATATGTACTAGAAGGACCATTACAAAAAGAAAGCAAAAAATAACAAGCATTGGCAGGGATGTGGAAAAATTGAAATTTGTGAATTACTGGTATGTAAATTACTAGGAGAAAAAAATGATAAATCCACTGGAGAAAATAGTATGGAGATTCCTCAAAATATAAATTAAACATAGAATTGGCATATGACCACCACCTTCAATTCTCTGCATATCCCAAATTGAAAGGAGTAACTTGAACAGATATTTGACTATCCATCTTCATAGCAGCATTATTCACAATAGCCAAAAAGTATCTAGCAAGGGATGAATAAATTTTTAGAATGTGTGATCTATACATATAATGAAACATTATTCAGATAGTAAGGAAATTATTATATAATGAATATTACTCAGCCTCAGAAAAGAAGAAATTCTGGTACAAGCTACAATGTGAAAAAAACTTTGAAGATATCATGCCAAGTAAAATCACAAAAGAATAAATACTGTATGATTTCACTTATAAGAGGTACACAAAGAAGTTAAACTCATGAAGACAGTAAATAGGATGATGGCTACCAGGTCTAGAAATCGGGGAAAGTTCAACAGGAACGGAGTTTCAGTTATAGAAGATGAAAAAGTTCTGGATATGGATGTGATGATGGCTGTACAACTATGTACTTAATGCCAATGTACTGTAAACTTAAAAATGACTAAGATGGTAAATATTATGTTACACATATTTTATCACACATAAACAAAAAATCTCAGAGATAAAAAGTCCTGGATAGTGCAAGAAAAACAGTTAACTTAATCAAAGGCAAATTCATTTCAGGATGTTGGTTTAAAAAAAAAAGTGAAAACATGGATAGAGAACACATAATCCTCCTGCTTCCTCTGGCTTAGATGGAAAGTTCTCAACAAGGTGTTGCTGAATGGTGAATGGCAGGAAAACAAGCGGGAGATTTTGTAGAGTGGTTTAAAGATGAGCTGCAAGACTCAGCCTACTGACTTTTTATCACAACCAGCTAAACAAGTCCTGATAATACCTAGGAGAAAATGATCCACTTCAAGTAACAAATCAATGAAGTAAAAAGAAACGGAGTCTTTAGAAATAAAATGTCACAAAAGGAAACTTAAAATATTCACAATTTTGCTTGGGCTTCATGGTGAGGAAAGTGATTACAAAGTATCAAGTCTTACTGAAAGCATTCTGGGAAAACTCTAGGAGAAAATTGTTTTTCCTCCCTTCAACTAGAAAACTAGGTGAGAGAATCCTTTCTCTAACTCTTCTGCTCAGCCAATGAGAAAGAGCTCTGTAGGTACAATCTGATCTTACACTAGAGATGAGACCTAATGCTTGCCTTGCCCCCTCTTTCTGTAAGAGTTCACAGGAATGCAGTGAACACTTCATTGATTTTGGGGATTTCTACACGTGTAAACAAGCCTTTTCTGTTTCTAGGGAGCATGCACAAAAATGACAAGCACTATTGAATTTCTATGGAAAATAGAAATCATGTGAGCTTAAATTCTTCCCAGAAATGAATATTTGTAGAGGAAGAAGCAAACATACACACACACACACACACATACACACACACACACACACCAAGAACAGGATTAACAGGAAAGAGATATATTTTATTCTTCACTTTGACTTCAAAATATCATTTTTATGAACATATAGGCCTATGAAACAAATATCACATTCATATAATTTTTTTTTTTTTACATTCATATAATTTTATAAATGCTAAGCCCGTATCATATAAATGATATGCCATGCAGAGAAAGTAGTTGAGTTTTCCCCAAAATCTTGTACAAATTTGTCTTAGACTTTATTTTAACTCACACTGTTTCAGTCTACTTTTAGAAAAATCAAATCTTACTTTAGTTTAAGCCAGTGTTATGGTTTGGATCTAGAATGTCCCCCCAAAAGCATATGTATAAAAAGCATGGTCCCCAATGAAGCAAGGTTCAGAGGAGGGATTTTTAGGCAATGGTAGTATTGTGAAGGTTGTAACCTCATCAGTAGATTAATCCATTTAATCAATTAATAATTTGAATGAACTACTGACTGATAACTGTGGGGAGGAATTGTGGCTGGAGGAAGCAAGCCACCAAGGACATGGTCTTGGGGATAATTTCTTGTCCCTGACCCCTTCCTGTCTTTCCATCTTTCTCGCTCTCTTGCTATTTCCTGGCCACTATGAGCCGAGAAGCTTTCCCCTGCCATGTTTCTTCCTTGGAGCCAGCAGACCATGGACTGACTCTCTGAAATTGTGAACCAATATTAGTCATTCGTCCTCTAAGTTGTTCTTGTCAGATATTTTGTCCGACAAAAAGCTAATTAACAGAGCTGGTTATTTCACAAAAATATACAAAGTTTGCCTTACGATTTTTGTTTGTTTGGTACCAGAGACGAACTCAGGGGTGCTTAAACACTGAGCCACACCACCAGCCCTTTTTATATTTTATTTTGAGACAGGGTCTCCCTAAGTTGCTTAGGGCCTCACTAAGTTGCTGACTATTTTTGAATAGTTTGAATCTGTAATCCTCTTGCTTCAGTGATGAGCCACTGGGATTAAAGGCATGTGTCACCATACTCAGCACCTTCTAAGTTTGTTAAATTTATGAAAAGTAAAAAAAAAAAATTACTCTCTAATTATCCATTTCTACCCTCCACCCTCAAGAGATGTAGGGTAAAAACTCATTTTTAGTTTAAAAAATGAGAAAAAACAAAAACAACTCTGGTATAAACTACATACCATCAACCATATGTGGTTACCACCATACACAGTAGAAATTTCTGATAAAACTGAATAAAGCAAACAAAACAAAAAAGGAGGAAATTGTTAAAAAAGAAAACTGTAACTTTCTTCTACTTATGTTTGTAATTGGCATTACGATTGGTATCTATTATGAAAGAGGGGAAACCACACCCAATGAAATGGCCAAAATCTATTCAAGAGCACTGGCAATCGTATTGCCTTATAATATCTGCATTATGGTTATAATTACAATAATGTTTTACAAGCTATAGATATTTTTATTCAGACCTAAAAATCATCTTAAGAGTTAGTTAACTATTAACAAGTCTTAAAATAAATTATTCATCTAAGTTCCAAGTTTGAGAAAGAATGGTCTAATATAAGGATGCATTATCATCTGGGAACTATAGCAAAAAAGATCCTACAGGTGATCAAGCCCCTACAAAGTTACATAATCTAAGAGGACAGAGGCACCTTTGAAACTACACTACAGAACACAATAGCAAAATTTATACTACTGAAAAAAGAATAACTGTTCCTTAAAAAAAAAGAAAGAAAAGTACAATAATTGCTAGGGGGAAAAAGGGAGAGGAAAGAAAACTTACACATGACTACTGGACAACAGTAGAAATTACTCTTAATTATTTAGTGCAATAATGGTGTATCAAAAGAGCCTATTTTATGAAATAGTTACAGGTCAAACGAGATGATGTCTGCTTTGACTCAAAATAATAAGGAAAAGAAAAGTGCGGATATAGCTGAAACAAGATTGCCCATGAATTTGTAACAGTTGAAACTGGGTCATGAGGATTCATTACACCTTTCTATTCTATGTGTTTGTAATTTTCCATAACAAATTTTTGAAATCATAAATTGAGTGAAAAGAAAAATCAAAAAAGGGGGAAAATTATCAAATATAATCAAAGAACTAGTTCCAAAATAAAGATCTATAAACTAATAACAAAAGGTCTATCCAATTTCAAAAAACTGGGCAAAAGACTTAAACAGGGACTTCACAAAAAAAAATCAATCTATATGGCTAATAAGCATACAAAAAAAAAAAAAAAAAGGAGCTCAACCTTATGAGTAAACAGGAAAATACAAGTCAGAAGGTTAATAACATGGTTACACACATCCATCTGATTTACAAACATTTAGAATTCCTGGCAATTATCAGATGCTGGCAAAGACCTAGACCAAATGTAAAGTCACACACTGCTGATGAGAGTGCAAACTGGTACACTTTTGGAAAACTATTTTTGAATCATCTAGTAATGTCAACAATACACTGACCTAGCAATTCCACTCTTAGGTTTAAACCCTACAGAAACAAATTGCACAAAGCCATCAGAAGATATGTATAAAAATGTTTATAGCAGCAATATTTGAAAAAGTATGAAATTAAAAATAACTCAAATGGTCAGCCAAAGTAGAACTAATAAACAGGTATATTCACACAATGGAATTCTGTAGAGCAATAAAGTAAATGAGATGCAGCAATATATACAAAGAATGGTTCTCAAGCACAATGTTAAGCAAAAAAGCAAAATAAATACTTCAGCCATTATAATACTAATTATATCATGTTCAAAAATAAGCAAAGTCAAGTTACAGAAGGATACATATTAATATTAAAGCTATAAAGAAAAACAAAAAAATGATTACCATGAAATATGGTTAGCTCTGGGGGGGAAAGGAAAGAGTAAAGCGGATGGAAGTTACAAGGGCATTCACTTTCAAACAATGTGTCCAACTCTACTCTTCTGTATACATGTTTCTGTTTTTTTTTTTTTAATTTATTTATTCTAATTTGTTATATATGACAGCAGAATGCATTTCAATTCACAGTACACATATAGAGCACAATTTTTCATGTCTCTGGCTATACACCAAGTAGAGTCATACCGTTCGTGTCTTCATACATGTACTTGGGGTAATGACGTCCATCTCATTCTACCGTCTTTCCTACCCATCTGCCCCCTCTCTTCCTCTCCCTCCCCTTTGCCTTATCTAGAGTTTATCTATTCCTTCCATGCTCCCCCACCCCATCCTCATTATGGATCAGCATCCTTATATCAAAGAAAACATTCAGCATTTGGTTTTGGGGGATTGGTTTACTTCACTTAGCATAATATTCTACAACTCCATCCATTTACCTGAAAATGCCATGATTTTATTCTCTTTTATTGCTGAGTAATTTTTAGTGTGTATATATACACCACATTTTCTTTATTCATTCATCTACTAAATGGCATCTAGGTTAGTTCCACAACTTAGCTATTGATGTGGCTATGTTTACTATAGTATGCTAATTTTAAGTCCTCTGGGTATAGAGACCAAGGAGAGGGATAGATGGATCAAATGGTGGTTCCATTCCCAGTTTTCCAAGGAATCTTCATACTGCCTTCCATATTGGTTGCACCAATTTACAATCTCACCAGCAATGTATGAATGTGTCTTTCTCCCCATATTCTTAGTTTTTTTTAAAAAAAAACAAAACGTTAAAGAGACAAAAAAGGTTTTTAAGGAAAAACACCTTTTCTCATGAAACTACTTTAAAATGTTTAACCAAAATGAAACTGAAGGGAGAAAGATCACAGAGGGTATTAACACATAATAGAGAAGCAAAGGAAATCCCCTAGGATGATCGCAGAAGACTAAAGAACAAATTATTCAGCTTTGAACAAGATTAAAGGCTTCAGGTAAGTAGTCCTTGAACAACCAATACACAAACTAAGTATTTTCAATATTGAGAAGTGACTCAGTTTGAATGGAGAGTAATGAAATAAGTAAAGAGTAAAGAATTACTAAATCTAGAGAAAAGTTGTGAATACTCTCTAGTCAGAGACCATCAATAATAAATAATGATTTGACTACAAAAGTAATACAACTAAATTCAAAAGATGCAGAGCAGGGAAGGACATGCAGAAGCAGGAGAGGGTTTATGGAACTAAACCTTCATCTTTCAATGCAGGAATTCAATAGATATATCAAGTGAAAATGCAAGAAACAGTAAATGCATGCAATTTAGAAATATAAAGATGAATATCTGACAAAACAGTTTTTTTAATAGTTGAAAATGTATGCCTCAAGAGAATAAGAACCAGTTCTGCTGAGGGCCGTGGCAGATGACTGCATTTGTTATAAGGATTGTAGTACTACTTTTAAAATTTACACTACACACGTTCTAACTTTGACGTAAAATTAAAATCCGTTGTGGACCATTTGTTCCACAAACAGTCCACATATGAATACCCTTACATTCTTTCAAACTTTTGCCATTTCAATATATAGTCTGCCTATTTAAATAAACAGATTGAGAAAAATGGTCTATCTTTCTAAATTGAACATAACTAAATGGGAATCTAGTAAGTAACAATTATATAGAACTCCTCTGTAAAAAACACTTAGAAAATCACATATTAGTATACATGCAAAACATCAAACTTTTCATTAATAAAAGGATAATCAGGGCAAAGGGAGGAGGGGCGGTAAAGAGGAAGCACCAGGGACTGAAATGGAGCAATTTATATTCTGCGTTCATATGATTATGTCCAAATGAATCCCACTGTTATGTATTACTATAGTGCACTAATAAAAACATTTTTAAAAGAATAATACAATCAGTGATATAAAAATCTTACCTTGTAAAAGTTTCCATACGACTTTCGAATATTGATCCACTTTTTAGCAAAATGAGGATATTTGAGCCGGCTCAGTTGGCACTGCATGTTCAAAAACTTACTCATATCCCACGAACTTATAAATCAGAAACAGGGGAAAAGAGGATAAAGTAAGGGCTATACTATTCTCACAAATGAGTATTTTAAGTCATTTTATTTTTTTTTTAATCTACACATATCAACTTTCCCATATTCACACAAAACATCAAGCTTAGAAAATTAAGAATTAATTTTTATAACACCTTACTTCAAAAATTAACTTTAAAGGTGGGATGAAAGTTGGCATATTAGTTTTTTTTCACAAACTAAATTTGGTTAGGCTCATTTTGATTGTTTTTATGGTGCTGATGACTGGACAGTCTTCAGTCTTGCTAAGGTGTTTTTTTTTCCTTCTCTCTTTTATTTTGTAATTGTTAAGATAACTGTATAATGCCAGGTATGCCATATTAGTAAGTTCTTAGATAAGTTTTAAAATACAACAAAAAACAAAAACAAATACATAGAATGCTTATAGATAATGGGGTTAAAATGTCTGTTTTGCAACCTATATCTTTCTGTAACACCAATCAACATGTTTTAGTTAAGGTAGTCAATACTGAGTATGCAATATAGAAATTGTGTTGGTTCACACATGGTTTTTCTTAGACAAGGGGAATCAGAAGAGCAATAGAAATTATAACATTCAGCAGGAAATAAAAAAGGCTTCAACTCAGCAGCTACCCTGGCACAACAGGAACGCTTTCAAATGTATTTTAGGAAAATTAAACTCAAGTGCCTTTTTCTAGGATCCTACTGTGTCTGCGTACTTTTAATATCCTGAAGCAACCTCCAATGAGCCTGAGAAGTTGCTTGCCTGGCTGTCCAAATATTTCTGAAAGTATCAATTACTGTTTTTGTTTTGCACAGGTTTTCCAATGATTTGTCCCAGAATTTGAGGTGTTTACAGAACTGCATATACTGTGGTATGATAGAAGCACCTGTCAACATTAGCAGGAATATTGCTTATTCAAGTTTAAAATCAGTGACAGATTTCCACAAAGGTCCATCAACATCTTCCCAAACTTCTAAACTCAACTATGATGTGATTAAATTCAATGCTCTTATATGAGAGATTCCCAAATCCTTCAGGTTGGCAACATCTCAGCGTTAGAGTACAAACCATCTACAATTTAAAACATAAATTATTTGGGATTTTCTTCTTCAACCTTATTGGCATTATGGCATAGGAGTTGCTCTTGCACAATGCCTGTAATCCTGGTTTTAATCTTTCTGATCTTCCCATTTAGCCTTTCACTTAACAAATGCTTGTTGGGCATATACTTTGGGCTCAGCATTTAAGCACTGTGGAAGACTATTGGTTAATAAAAATCCTTACCCTAAAATGATTTTTAATTTCCTTGCAAAAATAAGTCCTACATGAATAAACATTAGATATAAGAATATGTAGTCAGAATGAAGTACATCATATAGGGTATAAGACTTTAACAAATAACGTGAAATGTAAAATCTGGGTAAAAAGACTACGTTAAGGCTTTGAATAATGACAAAGAAATAATGAGAAAGAGATTCTCAGCAGTCAGGAAAACATGAAGTACACAAAGAAAGGATATACCATGTAAATTCATGGGCAGCCTGACTAAAAATGAATAATGGCAGGTGGATTAGGCTAAATGGATACAGTGGGCTGAGAAACCTTGAATGCCAAGCTGAACTTCTGCAAGAAGGCAAATGTGATAAAAATCAGTTTTAGGAAAGACATTTAGTTTCACATATTAATATTTATCTTTCTAGACCTCTAGTCTTAGATTAAAATGTTATCATTGCTTTCCCTCCTCTTTGATCTCTAGGATTCAAAATTTAAGTAGCAGTAAAAATAAGAAAGGGAAAATACTATCTCCTATGGGATAACTCTAGAGCCTTTAGCAAATATTTATTTATTGAAATATTTTAATAAATATTTTTATTTATTAAAGTCCCTAGAGTGGTATCCTAAGTTAAATAAGGTAATTTTTAATCCTAAAAAATGATTTTTAAAAAGGTAAATTCCCTAAATACTTACCCATCTGTTAATATGCAATATTTATACTTTGTTCCTAATTCCTTCAATTTCATCCAGTCAATTACTTTTTTCAGTACCTGAGGGAAAGTATCAGCTCTGTCAACCTGATCCTGAGGATATACAAGTAAAATATGTAAAAATTAAGACAACCACTTATAGTTCTACAAAACACCCCGACATATACAAGAAGAAAATTATCAATAAGAGGATGGCTTACTTATGTTTTAAATTCTTCAGAGTTTCCTTCAGTTAGATAGATCTACCACCTAAATAATTAAAAATTGTTTATAGCCAAGTAGTAGATATTACTTTCAACTGAGGTATATAATTCTCCCAAAATTAAGACCTAAGACCATCCCCAATGGTTCTCTTTCTAGAGGCCTTAACCTAGTAGCTTACTGATTCTTCAGAGTGGAAAAAAGGGCAATCTCTTATCTGCTCAAAGCCATAGCCTATGAAGTGGTCTTCCCAACTCAAGTCTCACACCTTTACACACCACACTATACACACACTGCTGCCAAACTGGACTTACTAAAATGTAAATCTGACCTACTCTATCACTCTCAATATCTTCCAGACACTCTTCAAGGCTTTGGGATAAAAGGACACACAAGAGCTTTCATGATCTGATTTGCCTCTGGCTACCTAGACCATTTTTTTCACTAGCCCATGCACATTTGAGCCATCCTGAACTATATGTATCTGCTGTTTAACACGTGAAATGCTCAACCCTCCTTCCTGTTTACTTACCTATCATGACTCAGTCAAAGATCATCAACATGAGGAAGCTTTTCCTAGGATAGCCCTCTACACATACAAAAATCCTTTTTATAGATGCCCACAATACCCTAATAAAACACTGATTTGTCACTCTTCCTAATCACGTGGATTATTTTGTCTGACTTATAGATCATAAGAAAGATGAAGACAGAGACTGACTAGACTGATTCCCTAGTTCTATAACATATATTTCAGTAGATAGTCAAATATGTGTGGATTAGATAAATGAATGAACGAAGGGCCTACTTATTAGAATACTACAACAACAACAACAACAACAAAATCACACTAAAAAACAAATTAAGGTACATATACAGTCAAGTTGTACACACATACATTCTAAACCTTATCTTCAAGTACATCACAATAATACTTACTTTGCTAATGCTCCATTTTACACAGGAAATCTTTAGATGCACAATTACACCTCCATAAAAGAAAAGTAAAATGTGCTTTTTGTTTCTGAGATGCAGGTCTCACTATCTTGCCCAGACCAAATGAGAACTCCTGAGCCCAACTGATCATCACACCTCAGCATTCTGTGTAGCTAGGGCCAAGCCCTCATGCCAAGTTCTAAGTCTTTTTATTATAATATGAAAGATCTTTACCAAGCAAGGAAAACATTCACAGTCTAGTTAGTCTGTATCTTCAGTATCCTTACAGTCTGGAAGTCAGGAGGATAGGCAGAATAAGCCAGTGGTCACAACACAGTTAAGAAAAAAGACTCGCCAGAAATTGTTCATAACAATGACTTTTTAAAACCATCTATAAAATAATCCGAAATTAAAAAACATCTTTCAAGCTTTAGAAAAAGGAACACAAAATTATAACCTGAGTAATTCCGGTAAGACTGATGCAGAAATCAGAAAGCTGAGTGTTAATCTCTGGTCTTACATATTGCTGAAACGTATCTTCCTAAAGAAAAGGATAACAAGTTAAAAATATGACCCAATATATGACAGACCCTACACAACAAATTCAGTCACCAGAATTTCCAGGTAATTGTTTATTTGTGGTACTGGGGATTGAACCCAGAGCCACTCGACTACTGAGCTACACACCTAGCCTTTTTTCAGACAAGGCCTTGCCAAATTGCCCAAGCTGGCCGTGAACTTATTGCCTCGAACTCCCAAGTCACTGGGATTATGGAAGAGTTATCAACAGAAAAAGCCATTCATTTTCATGCAAAGCCTTTTTATACTTACTGCCAGTGTGTTGGTGACACTAGAGTTATTACAGAAGTGATTTTCAGATAGATAAGATGTTCTGATATATACTCATTCAGATTTTATAAAAGCACTATTCTGGGGAATTTATTCTATGATTTCTTGAACTATGAATGTACTAATAATAATTATCTAAAGCATACATATTATGTTGCTTAGAAACCAAGGTTATAAGAGCCATTTCCCTCAATAAACTTTCCATCAAAAAGATGGCCAGTTATTTCTATAAATTGTCATTTTTAAAGACTAGTTAAAACCATCTGTGATGCTTTTTAAAAAAAATATGCTGATGTCAGGGGCCCTATGACAGAAAAACTAAACTAGCACCTCTGGGAATAGAGCCAAACATCTGTTGGGTTTTTTTGTTTGTTTGTTTTTAGTTGTAGACAGAATACCTTTATTTTATTTATTTGTTTTGATGTTGTGCTGAGGATAGAACCCAGAGCCTCAAAACATGCAAGGTAAATGCTCTACCAACTGAGCAACAAACCCAGCCCCAAACATTAGTTTGATTTGGGGTTTTTTGTTTGTTTTTTTTCCCCCCCAAGTGGTTTTGATGTATACTGAGATACAAGCAAACAAAAAACACTAGTATAATGTTAGCTACTGGAAAGGGGGAGAAGCTATTTCCACTATTGTTTGATTATAGTTTTTTTTTTTTTTTCCCGTTAAGCTAATATAAGAGCAAAAAGCTCACTTTAAAATTCTATTCTAGCTAAAATGGCAATTGAGACCCTCCAACTTACTAGTGAACACCAAAATAGTTGCTGCTAAAAATAAAATGAAGATATAACAATTCACTTACTATTTGCAAGGTATGAGTATTCAATAAAACAACAGGAAACTCAATTATTTCATGTATGAACTCAGGTGGATTACCCTCTTCACAAGTGGCTTCAAAGTCAATAATACAAATGTAGTCATAGTAACTATCAGCACAACTGCTCTCTTTCAACATTAGCTTCTGCTTCTTATAATAGTTTTTCAGTCTCTTCTTTAGTACATCCTTTACACCTCTAAGTAAAAGAATAAAAAACTTACTTAGGTGAATTTTACAGTCAAAATTCCGAACTCTTACCTGCTGGCAATGGGTTGAACACTGATAGTCATAGCATACTTTAGCTAAATTGCAAAGTAAGACTCAAAGCTAAATCAGCAAAATGCATAAAACATCAACATTTTCCTTCACAAGTAACAGTTCATTTTAATGGTATAGAAGAGCATTTCTCTAATATATATTTGGTATTTTAAACTATAAATTTTGTCAGCCTATACCACTAACTCAGCCATACTGCCTTATCTATTAAGATGACATGATATGAAAACTAAAAACTAATATTGAATCATTCTATTGGCCATATACTTTTGAGAGACAAAAATTTAAGTAAATTGAACATACTCTACTATCTCCTCCTTTCTTTTGGCATTTATAGTTTAGACAACTAAAAACTCCATGTGATATAAAAGCATTATGAGCCTAGAACATAAAGTTGACTATCTGTATAACTAATTTAGCAATACCATCCTAAGAGTAAACTATAATCCACAGAACATTATCATAGAAGTTTCTTAAATTACCTTGGGGAAAATATAATCTGGAAATTTCAATATTTCAGAAAGCTTTAAAATACATATTCTACAAATGAGTAGGGAAGAGAAAGGAAGGGTCCTCCTACATAGATAACAATGGTTGATAAATACTGATCACATATTCAAACAATATGTATTTCTTCAATAACTTAAAAATGTCACAGCCAGTGCTTATGTTTCCTTCACTGTTACTTGGCTCAATAATGAACCAGCCTACAAATAAATACAAAACTGTAGTAAAAATAAAAGGCTCTAGCTTATAATTAATATTTAGTTGCCAAGTAAGGTATTTTGGTCACATTGCCAGTTAGGAACTTTAAGAAAGGTTTTTGTATTTTTGTTTTCTTTTTTGCCTATATTCCTTTCTTAAGTTCAACAAAGCAGTGACAAAGAAATCCTACCCATGATAACACTGATAATCAACTAGTTGGTTGTTTTAAGACAAAATGTTTTATGGGATTTTCCAAATCACTGAAACCTAACAAGCAAATTCTTCAACCCCTTTCATTTTAAGTCATTGTAAGTGACCTCTGTTACTTCAGAGTACTCTGTCTTAAAATTTCTTTTCCTTTTTGTTTTGTTTATTTGTTTCCAGGGGGAGAAACTATACTAACTAAATGGCTACCTGAAAAACCAAACAGTAGTGCAAACATATAACTAAATACTCAGGATAAAAACCTGTCATCCTTAATATCTCCCTTGCTCCCTCCCATACTCAACCACTTTTACTAATTCCAACTTCAAAATAACATTCAGAATCTGGTTTTCCTTAATTCTCTTTGCTATAGCTCCCATCAGCTTCTTGCACTATAGCAAATCCGTTCGTTACCTTACGTAAGAACTGAGCACCAATGCCAAGTTCCTACCAAACCATCTTTACAGGTCCATTCTTTTTACATGGTAAAATGCAAACTTCAGTATAGTGCTCCTCACACTGCTATGACCTATCATTTCAGTATCACTGTTAAACATCCCTGCTTCCCCACTGCACACCAGTATATCAGATACTGCAGACAAAACATACTATAGGCCTGGCCTCAATATGTGGTATGTTTTCATGTTCTGTAACTGGTTTATAGTAGTTTTTTTTTTTAAAGGCAAATCATATAACAAAAAAAAATCTAAAAACAGGAATCAAAAGATTTTTAGTCAAAATTTTCTTCACAAATGGTGTCAAATATTTCTTCACAAAAAAGCCTGAAATATCCTCCTCTGGCTATTTTCTGTTTGTTACAAAAGTCACCTTCCTGAATTCCTGAGAAACACTCTCTCCTATATCCTTGTGCTGCACTTGGCCAGGCCTCCAATATAGTACTGGCCACTCTGTACTGTATTTATTTATTTTTGTGTTTTCCCAAAAGACTGTGAGATTTCCAAAGCAGGGAAACATATCTGTATTTACCTTTATAACTTCAAATGCCTAGTGTAGTGCTTAGAATTCAATACAGGCTTGTTGAATAAATGTATAAACATACATCTAGATCTCTAGCTCCCATGCAAGCCAGAAGCAAGCAAATGATCTTCACACCTGGGAAGGATAAAAATTTTGCTCAGAAAGTCTTCTGTAGGCTATAGGGTGGACCTTCATAGTAGAAAGAGTCAGGGAAAAATGAAGTCAAAAATTTCTTCACGAATTATGATACAGACAATTTAGAAGGGAAAAAAATTATGTGTGCTCTTCTGAAAAGCAGTGAAACTCTATCTTAAAGCACAGAGGAGGAATTCTACTGAGATAGGAATAAGGATTAAAGGATGCCCAAACTTAATACATTTTTATCTATTACATACAATTTCTTTCTTGATGCCTAGCAATTCTACTGTTCATTAAAAATCTATACATTTTTCTGGACTCCAAGTCCTTCCTATCCTACACCCAAAAAAAAAGTAATTTGCTTTATAAAATATATTAAAAATTTAGGTATGTGTTTATCTTACTAAAAATACACAAACAGCTGTCTAAGCTACATTTTTTCTCTTTCAATACACAGTGAAATATAATACATACAATCATTCTGCATTAGTTTTAGAAGCTAAAACAATAAAAAAAAATTCCTGAAAAATGAATGATTTATTTAAATTACCTGGTTTCAGACAATTCTCCTTACAAAAACAATACAAATGGCCAAAGAAAAATAAAAACAAAAATATTCAACATCATTAATAAGATAGAACTATCTATCAAGTAAACAAAGCAACCATATAAAAATTTTAAATGTATTTGTTTTGATTAGATAGACTCCTAGCTATGCTAACAGATATTCCTGAATTTCGATTGAATAGTGTTATTTTATCATTTAAAAGACTGATAGAAATAGAGTTGCACACAAAGATTTATGTACAAGAATATCAATTACAATTCTTACTTGAATTGTCAATTGTTATTAAAGTATGAATACAGATAATTTTTAATTTTTCAGTATTTTCACAATTTCCTAAAGTGAGCATGTAATTTTTTTTAATTATTTTTAGTTACCTGGTTTCAAGCTTGAATTCTGAAAGCTTAGCTCTGAGTTCTTCCTTACTCATTCTATTAATACAGCCATTTGTAATAGCAATCTCTTTGTAAACTGGGTCACTGAAATCACTTCCATTGGAGGTAATGAACTTAGATCCTTTTGTTTCTTGGCCATCAAACCTACATCGATGCTTTTTCTGTAGGAAAAAAAGTAGGGAGAGGATACAGCTTATCAATAGTACAAACATCTTATATTTAAAGACTCAAACTCCTGAGGCCTCTTCATGCTACATGTTCAAGGAAAAGCACCCATTGCAGCTTCTGGAGGGAGGACAGGATGAAAAATATATTTCAAAATAATTTATCCTTCTCTGAGTCATGAGGCTCCTCAAAGGAGATGAAGCTAAGCAAAAAGGTGTTGGAGTCAGAGCCACCTGAGTACAGAATCTGAGCTGATCATTTACTAGCAGCATAATCTTGGGTGGTTACTTATCAGCTTTTGCTCTTAAGTTTCCTCACCCATAAAGTAAAAGTGTATTTATCTCAAATGGTATTTAGTAATCGTAACAGTAAATAGTATATGGGCAGAATTATTATAAGCATGCAATAAGACCATATATAGCAAGTTCCTAATACCATATCCAGCAGTGATTATTAATAAATGGCAACTTTATTTATTATCATCACAGGCAGTAAAAGAGACCTTTTTATAAACTTACAAAATAGCTAATTTTTAAATGAACTTTCACACTATACATGTGTAAGTCAGTGACTTCCTGACAATCTTTTAATTCAATCCAATATAAAAACAAAATATGCTATAAATCTAACTCAAAACTTCCTAGTACAGGGCTGGGGCTGTAGGTCAGTGGCAAAGCACTTGCCTAGCATGCGTGGGGCACTAGGTTGATCCTCAGCACCACGTAAAAATTAACAAATAAAATAAAGGCATTCTGTCTATTTACAACTACAAAACAAAATTTAAAACAAAACAAAACAAAAAAAAAACTTCCTAGTACCAAAACAAAGGAACTGTATTGTTTTAAAACTCAAAAAAAATTTTTTTTAACTTTTTTCAAGTCACACATATCCAATAATTCAGAACTATAGTTACTGTATTATAAACCTATTCTCATTTTAAATCTGTTACATGACTTAATTCTATTCTCTCTATGGATAAACCCAAACTACAATCATGTTATGCTCCAAAGATTCATTTATAATCCAATTATTTCCCCTATGTAAGGTTTCAATATTAGCTGTTTCAGAATTTCCAAAAATACTTTGATACTATTAACATATTAATGCTTATTAACTTAGTCAAAATTTACTACACTATTCCCATGTGAACTTTGACTTACAGACTAAGGAGGGATAACAGCAAAAGGCCGCCATCCCTGGCTTAGAATTACTCCGGATGGTTCAGGGGCTATTTCTCACTCTAAACTCTTACTTTAATGCAACACATATTTATTGGAAATGTAATGCTAGGTACTGTGCCAGAGTACTCATTCTCATCTCCTTTGAGGAAGGGGTTAGCAATTTCACTGTACGAATTCCATAAATAGGATTAAGCATGAGATTCCTAGTTAACAATCATTTAAAAATAAAAACAAATTTTATTACATTGCCTTTTTGACTAAGAAAATATTTAGCTTTTAATACATTAAATTTATAAAAGATACCTGGCTACTGTCTTTACAATTAAACAACATAATTTATTCTTTGTCTTTAAACCTACATTGAATTTTAAGTCCCATCTTACTAAAACAGACTCTCACATAGTTTAAGCAAATTTTCTCTTTGGATAAGTCCATTCTCAGATTCACTTGGAATTCTTATGTAAAACTACAGCAACAAAATTTACTACAAATTAACACACCTCTTCTACATATGCTACAAATCATGACTTTTATGAAGATTTGTTTCTGCTCCTACAACCAACTGCAGACCTCTTGTTTCAGTGCAGTTCTGAGCACAGTAGTCAAGGTCTTCCTCTCAGTGATTAGTGTTTCTTCAGGTCTAGGACACAAGTCAATCCATCAAGAAACAGAAAGAAAAATTTGAAACCCCATATATACTATTAATCTGCAAAAACACATTCATTTACTAAATTGAGATTGGAACTGCCTTCTGCTCCAGTCTCTATGTCCATCTGTCAAATGTCACTTACAGTACTAGCCATATACAAAAGAGGGAGATGGATTCTGCAATAGGAAGAGAAAGATTCACCTCACAGAACGGTTAACATTAAATATTCCAAAATTGCTATCCTTTTTTATTTGTACTGAGAAGGGGGTGATAGTTTGATCTCTAAAAGTTTGATTTTTTTAATGAACACAATCTATTGTTTCAAGAAATAAAGTATGGTTTAAAAATAAGCTTCAGGGGCTGGGGATGTGGCTCAAGCGGTAGCGCGCTTGCCTGGCATGCGTGCAGCCCGGGTTCGATCCTCAGCACCACATACACAGATGTTGTATCTGCCGAAAACTAAAAAAAAAAAATATATATATATATATATATATATATATATATATATAAAATAAATAAATAAAAATAAGCTTCAAAGTAACTGCTTATCAAAAAGTATCTTTTTGTTAAGAAAATCTGAAAACAGTGTTTTAGTGTTTCCATAATTTTGTTGCAAAAAAACTAAATTAACCTATTTGCATCTATACATTAAAAAAACACAACTTATCTTGATTAAAATTCTTCCAAAATAAGAGTTCTGATAAAATTTGAACCTACCTGGTAAAACATAAAAATGCAACAGCTTTTATTGATCTACAAAAGCATCAAAAACTAGTAATAATGGAAATTTACTAGCTGAATATCAACAAAAAACAACTTTGCTTTTGATTGGGAAAAAAAATGTCTGCTCATTTATTTAGAGCATCCAACAATAAATTTTTAACAAATATGATGGTCATTAAAACAATCTGGAACAGACGGAGGCCTCAAATAGCTAAACCTAAGAAGTTTCAAAACTTTCAAATTAATGAAGTATATTCAAACACACTTCTCTTATTAAAGATAAACTTTTGAAAATTATTTTTTAAAACTGACTTAGATGATGTTACTTACAAAATCTATCTCAGAATAAAGGAGGTGGTGGGGTGGAAAAGTTCTCCACAGGGCACAAGGAAGTCCTCTTTGAGAATGAGATAGCTTTGCAAAGATCCAGAGGAAGAGTATGCTGGGCAAGAGAACCTATAAAGACTCTTAAGGAGAACCACCTTCCACTGTAAAAGAAGACAATGAAGCCAGGGGCTCAACAGGAAAAAGGATGATTGTGTGAGATAAAACTAGCAACAGAATGGAGTCCGATCCTGCGGGCACCCAACAGAAGGTAATCAAGGAATGGAATAGTCACCCAAATTCAGATTATTAAAAGAATATTATTTCTGTACGCAGAAAGTAACTCATGGATGGAAGGAGCAAAAGACCTAGGAATCCTCTTGCAAATACCCACTTTATAAGGGGCTCAACACTGATTTGTTATTACGAGGTAAAGACCAACTTCAGCATTATTTACAATGTACAGCGCTAATCAAAAATAATTATCTAAATAAGATAAGTTTTAAGCTTGCTTTACATGTTTGCCAATGTGACTAGGATCTAAGAGTGACATGATTTCATTAGAAAAATCAATCATATACTATGTCTAAGAGATAACAGAAGAAAATGGGCAGAAATGGGAGGTGAATAGGCAGGCAGACAGCACAGTCATGTTCTGTGAAGGCTGTGAGGAAGGAGACAGGCTTCAAGCGACATTTCCAGAGCAAATGGTACTATTTTAAAAAAAAAAAAAAAAAAAAAAAACTTCCCAATTACTGATGATGGAATGGCAGCAGCAACAGTGAACGCAGAATGTTTAGCGCAGAATTCCCACTCAGAACTTACAAAACCACAGTCCACACAACTTCTCTTCTGGACCACTTACACCCATCCTGATTGGGCCCTGAGGGGTCAATGACAGGTGCCCCGAGCTGGGAACCCGGCATCCCTGGGGCAGCGGTTTAAGCTGCACACCAGGAGAAAAGGGATGCCCAGGGGCGGCGGGGGCCGAGGGGGACGCGGGCCCAGCGCTCACCTCGCGATGCGCGTGCTGCGGATCCTCCCCACCCTCCGGCTGCGGCACCTCCAGCTGCGAGAGCGCCACGGCCTCGCCGCTAGGCTGCCCACTCTGCTCTTCCTCCATGCGGGCTCCCACGCCAGAAGCCAGCTGCTGGAGGCACACACTCGCTCACTCTCCACCAAGCCCCAAAGCTGGGCTTTTCCCTGTTGAAAAACCACCCAGCTCGCGTTCCCGCGGCCGCCACACAAACTCCAGCGGACACCTCCCACTTCCGGGAGCGTGTGGCGTCCGCACGCCGCGCAGGCGCAGTGAGCTGGCGCGCGCGGGACGAGCGCGCAGCTGCCAAGGGCGGGAGCGGGAAGAAGCGGGAGGCGCTAGCTGGGAAGCGAGTGGGCGTGGACAAACCGCGCGCTGCCAGGGGGCGGGTAGAGATGAAGAGCCTGTAGGTAGACGGAAATCATCTGAAAAAAATCATCCGTCAGCATTTCTTGAGGGAGGAGGCAGGGACATCACAAAGAAAAGGCTTTTCTTCCATTACATACACAATTTATGAAATAACTTATAAGACGTCTTACCTTGCCGCAAGAAAAGAAAACGGGTCTGCAGTTGGTGTCCCACTCTAAAAATGAGAAAACCGAACATGTAGGAAACAACTCTTTTCAGACGTTAGACAACAGACTGTTCTGGATTGTTTACCTGAGAGAATAGAAACAAAACAAGATGAGCACAGCGCATGCCACCTGGACTTTTTGCCTACTGGCAACTGTCAGTCTGGTTCAGGGAAAGGAAACTCATAACTAAGGTCTCACTGAGTTGGGAAGACAGGGGTAGAGTTTAAGAAATTGGGAGAGGACACGTTGGTTGGACTTTTAGGGGGGCAAAATTCTGGAAAGGAATGAATAGCACGTAAAGAGCTTCAAAACTCTGCATGGGAGTATCTGAAATTTTAACTGAATAAAAATGAGTGAATATATCATGTGAAGCTCCACAAGGCCAGGAAAGAACAATTACTGTAGAGCAGTAAGTCATTTGAGTTCCAGGCAATCAAGTCCAGAAACTTTGCTGACTAACATGCAACTTGCAGTAGATATCCTACAAGTGTCATGCCTCAGTAGTGGCATAAACTAGTCCGGGACTGTAGAAATCAAAGTGAATTAATGCATCCTTCAGAAGCTTAAAAACAAACCCTGAAAGGATTAAACTACTTGGTAAGAAAATTAATTGCTTGCAGGAACAAAGTCTAATCCTTTATAACCGCCACAAAAATAATAAAATTCAGGATTCAACAACATGTTCAAAATGTCAGCCATCCAATCAAAAATTAAGAGACATGTCAAATGCTAGGAAAATATTTCATACAATCAATAGAAGCACATACAGAAGTGATAATAGTGATGGAATTACAGAGAAAGGCTTTAAACATGTATTTTAAATGTGCTCTATATGCTCAAGGATTTAAAAGAAAATATGATTGAGAAATCAGAGAGACTTAAAAAGAAGCAAATAGAATTTTCTGGAGCCAAGTATGGTAGCACTGCCTGTAATCCCAACTATAGGGCTGAGATGGGAAGATTGCAAGTTCTAGCCAGCCTGGGCAATTTAGTGAGACCTGTCTCTCAGAATAAAAAGGACTGGGGGTGTGACTGAATGGTAAAGCGACCCTGGGTTCACTCTCTAGTGTTACCGGAAAAACAAATGAACAAACAAAAACCTGGAAATGGGAAATACAATATCAGAGATAAAAATTTCTCTCGATGGATCAGTAGCACATTAGGCAGTGCAAAAAAAAAATTAATGAATTCGAAAACAGCAATAAAAACAATTCAAAATGACCCACACAAGGAAAAAGACTGAAAAAAGAATGAATAGAACCTCAGTAACTTACCGCACAATATAAAGAAGCCTAATATATACACAATTGTAGCCCCAGAAAGGAAATGAGGATGGACCAAAAAAAAAAAAAATCAAAGAAATAATGAACAAAAGTGTCCCAAATTTGATGAAATCTATAAACTACAGATCCAAGAAAGTCAAAGAAGCCCAAATAGGATAGACATAAAAGGAACTATACCCTGGCATATCATAAGGACATTGGTTAAAAAATAGAAAGAAAATGTTAAAAGGAACCAGAAGGAGACAAAAGGGAATTAATTATATGCAAAGGAATCATAATTTTCATAGACTTTTCATTAGAAACCATGCGAGTCAAAAGAAAATGATAATAATAAAAAAAGAAGAAAAAAACCCAAATCTTTAAAATAAACAAAAAGAACCCTGTCAACCTGGAATTTTATACTAAAGTAAAATATAAAATATATAAAATATAAAGATATTTTAATTTCACCAGCAGGGTGATACAAAGACTTTTTTGGACCATAAGCCCAGGAAATCCACATCCTGAAATAAAGCTGTCCCAGCTGGTGAGGCTCCCAAAGTGATAGGCCAGAGTAGGGTGCTTGGCATATGGAATGCTTGGAAATAACAGAAAGTAGCTCAGAAGAAATATCTTTCTCAAGTCCTTTCTTCTGCTTCTCTTTCTCTGCCCTCGCAAGTAAAGAAACTAGAACCCAGCTACCCACCAAACCAGCCATAAAACCTAGAAATAATGAGCCCCACCTTTCTGTGTACAAGCTGGCCATAAAGAAATCCTCTGACCTATCTTGTCTGATAGTGGGTCATAAGGCACTCATTCTGGAAGTTCTACCCTCTCCCTAGGAGGAAGACAAGCTGCCCAGAGTCCTAGAAGGATCTGGACAGGCTTTTCTAAGTTTCCCCATTTAGTCCGTTACAGTTAAGTCATACTCTTTTTGTTCAGTCACATTTTTATATAGCTGTCCATTCTTTGCCAAATCTAAGCATTAAAAATGACAGACTTTCTTGATCTTTAGATCTTCACTTCTGAAGTCTCCCTCTTATGACATGTAAAAATTTGACTATATAATATATTTATTATATCACATTTTCTTCTGTTAATTCGTCTTTATCAGTTTTGATTTCAGACCTTGCAGGAGCCCTAGGAAGGTTGGAATCTTTCCTCCCCGACACAGATGACCTGCAGATCTCTGAGAAAAAAAAAAGTTTGTTGTTGTAAGCCATTGGGTGGTTTGTTACTCAGCATTCTTGAAAAAAAATAGTTGAGAAATACAGGGTCACTTCAAGTTTCATGGCAGTGGTGAGGACATATTGTAAGGGTCAGGCGAAGCGTCGGAGAAAGAGACCACCAAGTGACCACTCATGCAATTGGCAGAAGGGGATTTATTGAACCAGCATGCTGGGGCTCCGTGCCCACTCAAGAAGGGAGAACAGCCCAGAGCCCCGAGCAGGGGCTGAGCACTGCTTAAGTACACTTTTTTGGGGAGGGCAGGGATTTTACATACATCACAGTCTCCTTTAACAAATCATTATACACCGCGGGAAAATCAAACAACAACTCCTAAACATGATTAGTTCATTCATTGGCGGGAACAGGTCAGGCTGGAGTGATAGGTCATTTCTAAACGGGGTACACATTCAAACTGATTGGTTTTAGGGCCTAAAGGACTACGTAACCAGTTACACAGAGTCCTAAGTTATTGGACAACCAGGGAGTCAGTGGGAATATTTACTGGGCAATTCCAGTATTGTCCTAACAGCTACAGGGATTTCAGGTTTTGCAGGTAGCATAGAAACCTAACAATACCTAATCCTTTACATTTTAACTCAGACCTTGCAGCTTAGAAACTTTACAACACCCGGTCTTTTACCCTTTTAACTTTTACGCTTTAACTTCAATTTCTTTTACCCTTACAATATGATTTCCCGGTAAAGAGAGACACAGTTAGAAATGTATCACAAGGTGTCTCCTCAAATAATTTTCTTATGGTTTCTGTTGTCATTGTTTACCTTATAACCACAGACTTAACCTTTGTGCTTATAAACTAAAGTACATAAATTATAAAAAGACACAACTCCTGTCCCGTTTTCTGGGGACAAATTTATTCACCTTCACTTTAGATAATAACACTTTGGAGCCCTAATGTACAATTGCAGAGAAGTTAGGGGAAATGCTATCTTCCCTGGAAAATATCTTTTTTCTCAGAGAAGGAAGAATAACTGCCTAAACAAGATCAGGATCCATATTACATATACATTAATAAGCACTAATTACAGACTATTGTAGCTAAACATTTTGGTTTGATATGTGACATATATCTCAACTTTTAGTTAAAGAAGATTCACCATCGACTACTGATAATCTATGCTAAAAATGTTGGTTTTAGGCCTTAGTACTACTGCTTGGATCTACAGGAATGCTTCATTCATTCAACAAATACATTTTGAGCACCTTCTCTGAGCCAGGAATGAGCAGTGAACAGAACAACCACAACTCTTTGCCCTAATGGAGTTTACATTTAAGAAGTGGAATACAGACAATTAACAAAACAAAAGAAGAAAGAAAGAAATGAAATGGTTATAATAGGGAGAAAAATAAACAGGGAAGGGGAGTGGGGGGTGCCCATGCATGAAGGGAAGTTGACATTTTGAATAGAATAGTTATGGAAAACCTCTCCAGTGATGTGCCACTTAAGCAAAGACCTGAAGAAGTAAGGGAACAAACTGTGAGAATATCTAGAAGAAAAGTCCAGACAGAAGGAACAGCAGGTGAAAAAGCCCTGAGCTGGAAAGATGCCTGGACTGTTCAGGAAATATCACAATGTCCAGTACTTTCCTGTGAGTGCGGGATGGATCAGTCTGCAGGAGACCTGAATTGTTTAACATGTTGAGTGCTGTAACTTGCCCCAAACACTGAAGGAGAAATCCCAGTGACACTCCTCCTTAAGCAAATATGTGCCTCAGTTGGACAGCTAAGGATGCTTCCTTATGGCATAGCCTAAAGGAGAAATTTAGGAACTTGTATTCTAAATCAACTTTTCTCTGATTTCCCTCCAGTGGAAAATATACCTGCCTCTCATTGATCTGTCACGTCTCTGGATTCATCATAGTTAGTGATAAATCTGTGTATTCTGAGATAACAGGATTGGCAAATTAGATATGTGACCTTTGCAGAGGAGAATGACATTTATTTCTATGTCATTTTCCCATTGCTGCCTGGTGCCACGTGTGTGTTTGTGTGTGTGTGTGTAGAATATATATATATATATATTGAATCCCACTTTGTTCTTCTATTTTTATCTTCTCCTACCATTTCCTAGTTCCACAATCTGATTTTACAAATCTCTTCTTTTTAAACTGAATCTGTCATTTTTCTT